TGTTAGCCAGGATGGTGTTGATCTCCTGACCTCGTGATCCGCCCGTCTCGGCCTCCCAAAGTGCTGGGATTACAGGCTCAAGCCACTGCGCCCGGCCGCCCAGGCTGGTCTTGAACTCCTGGCCTCAAGGGATCCTCCCACCTCAGCCTCCCAAAGTACTAGGATTATAGGTGTGAGCCACAGTACCTAGCCGATTAAAAATTAATTTTAAAAAAGAGGATGTGATGAGGGAGTTAGAGGGTGTGCCAGCCACGTGTTCCACAGCAGCAGGTCAGGAGACGTTGGGGACATTTAGAGGAGCTGAGGAGGTGGCCAGCCCTGTGCTCAGGAGGGCAGGGGAGGGAGAGAGCAAGAGGGAGTTTGCGCTGGGGCAGAACACAGCCGGGTCCTGAGAGAGGGTAGGAAGGCAGGGACATGGCCCCTCCAGGCCTGACTCTGCCAGCAACCAGCTCCCTGTCAGCAGACTCCAGGCCCCTATCCTTCAGATCATCCTTCCTTATCATATATCCAAAACTCTGAATGTGGCCAGGCGCAGTGGCTCACGCCTGTGATCCCAGAACTTTGAGAGGCTGAGGCAGGAGGATAGCTTGAGAACAGGAGTTTGAGACCAGCCTAGGCAACATGGTGAAACCGCATCTCTACTAAAAATACAAAAATTAGCCGGGTATGGTGGCACACGCCTGTGGTCCCAGCTACTCAGGAGGCTGAGGCATGAGAATCACTTGAGCCTAGAAGGCGGAAGTTGTAGTGAGCGGAGATCGCGCCACTGCGCTCCAGCCTGGGCAACACAGCGAGACTGTCTCAAAAAACAAAAACCGGAATGTGTTTACCATAAAGGTCAGAAAACGTGATTAACAGCTGCTCGAAGCCCCTGTCTGCCCTGAGCCCGTGGGAGTGAGGCCTACCCTGTGGTCTGGCTACAGGGAGGAAGGGCAGGCAGATTGGAGGGGGCAGGAGAGCAGGTCAGGAATTGGCCAACTCTGGAGAGAGCGACCAAGAGAAAGTCTGCACCCAGGGCAGGGCTGGCCAGGAGCGAGGTGGGACATTGGACCAGTATTTTCAGAGCTGGTGAGGCTTAAAGAGCATGTCTATGGCCTCTTATTGCAGAGGGAGGATGCCGAGGCCCCAGACCCATCCAGGCCACCTCTTCACAGACACAGCGGGTGCCAGGGAAGCTCCTGCCCAGAGCCTCGAGGCATTGCTCCCAATCTCTCTCTCTCTTTCTTTTTTCTTTTCTTTTTTTTCTTTCTTTAGACGGGGTCTCGCTCTGTCACCCAGGCTGGAGTGCAATGGCACAGTCTCGGCTCACTGCAACCTATGCCTCCCCAGTTCAAGTGATTCTCCTGCCTCAGCCTCCCGAGTAGCTGGAATTACAGGCGCACGCCACCATGCCCAAATAATTTTTTGTATTTTTAGTACAGATGAGGTTTCACCATGTTGGCCAGGCTATTCTTAAACTCCTGACCTCAGGTAATCCACCCACCTCGGCCTCTCACAGTTCTGGGATTACAGGTGCGAGCCGCCGTGCCTGGCCCCTCTGTCTCTTTTGATTCCCTTCTTTCTCACTCACCTCCCATCTTTCCCCTTCACTGACTTCAGGGAGTTACAAACGATTCTTGCCATGAGCTGGGCTGGTTTTGTCTCCCTGCTTCTCTTTGTACTAAACATTAGATACCGAGGAAATGCGGATTGGCCTTTTGGATGATTGTCAGCAGGAGTCAGAAAAAGGTACCTGGTTGGCCTCAAGCAGCAGCTATAGTGGTGCCCACTCCCAGGGTCACAGCAGGCTATAGTGGTGCCCACTCCCAGGGTCACAGCAGCTATAGTGGTGCCCACTCCCAGGGTCACAGCAGGCTGTAGTAGTGCCCACTCCCAGGGTCACACCTCAAAGCCACGCCTCCCTCCTGCCCAGCTGGGTGCCCTTATCAGCCCTCCTTCTTCTTCTTCTTCTTCGTCTTCCTCTTCTTCTTTCTTTCTTGTTTTCCAGAAGGAGTTTCTCCTCTTGCTGCCCAGGCTGGGGTGCAATGGCACAATCTCAGCTCACTGCAGCCTCCCCCTCCCTGGGTTCAAGCAATTCTCCTACCTCAGGCTCCCAAGTAGCTGGAATCACAGGAATGTGTCACCACACCTGGCTAATTTTGTACTTTTAACAGAGAGAGGTTTCACTATGTTGGCCAGGCTAGTCTCGAACTCTTCACCTCAGTTTATCCACCAGCCTCAGCCTCTCAAAGTGCTGGGATTACAGGCGTGAGCCACCCTATCAGCCTCACTTCTACCCTCACTTCTACCCTCAGAGGAGGAATGGAGGCTCAGAGCGGGCAAGTGTTCCACCCAGCATCACACAGCGCGCCGAGTGAGAGCCTGGTCATGAGCCTGGGCCTGACTGCAGGCTCCTGTTGGGAGCTCACGGAGATGGGGGTCTGTCCAGAACTGAGAGGCCAGGGGACCACAGTGGCCTCCGACCCCTGGAGGGCCCTGGAGGCTGCTGCTGGCTCCCGCCCGGGGCAGATGGAGGTCACTGTCACCCAGGCTGCCTCTCATGGTGCCAGGAGCCCAGCAGGGCGGGAGCCACCAGCCGATTTGCCTTTCCCTGGGCAGGAAACTCAGAAATGTGGCTACACATTCAGGCTGCCTGGCTTGCGGTGAGCACTCATCTCTTATCAGGCAAGCAGCCAAGCACCTTTCCTGAAATATTGAGGCCTCGGAACAAGCCCCAGGGGAGCTGCCAGCACTGTCATCTCCACCCAGATAAGGAAACCCAGGTCCTGAGAGGTTATGCAGCTCCCACAAGACCACACGGCTGGCGGAGGTCAGACTCTGGGTTGCAGAAGGATAATGTGAGCAGAGACCACAAAAGAGTGAGGAGCGGCGTACCCGGATGCCCAAACGGCCTCCCTTGCCCAGCTCAGCACCAGGAACCCAGCCCGTGGGGAGGGACCGTCAGGGAAAGGCTGTCAGGAAGGGCAGGAGGCAGCCCTGGAGAGGACAGAGCTGCCCTCAGAGGCCGGAGGGGAGTCCCCTCTGCTGAGAGCCTCCCAGGATCCCTGGGGGTGTCCGGGAGGAGGCGGAGGGAGGAGGCGCAGATGGACAGGACTCCCAGAGAGGGTGGGGAGGTGTGGTCGGTGACACACACGGTCCCCTCCTGGCAGGTGCTGAAGTCACCTGGAGCCTCCAAGCCCGTGGGGCCTGAGGGGCGGGGTCAGGTCGGGCACGCGTGGGTGGGCGGAGCCAAGGCGGGCACTGGGGAGAGAACAAGTCAGCTCGGGAGGGGACCACGGGGACCCGTCCCGGGGCGGAAGAAAAGGTGGGAGGGAGTGCGGCCGTGGGCGGAGGCGGCGATGGGAAGAAGGTGGGGCCCTTCGTCCCGTCCTCCCGAACGCCGGGCGAAACACGCAGCGGGTTCTGCGGCCTCGGGGCAGAGCAGAGCGTTTCGGGAAGGGCGGGCCCCGCGTCCTCGCGCCCGGGGTCGCCCGGCAGCTCCCCTGCGTCCAGAATCCCCCCACGCCAGGCCTGCGCCCGCCCCTTCGCCTGAGCTCCGCGCGGGATGGGCCGGGAGGCCGGGGTGGGCGCTACCTTCGAAGGCGGTGGGTCCGCCCCGCGGGAGGCGACGGGGGCGGGAGGGGCGGACCCCTCTGGTCTCCGGAGGGTTTGGGAATCGCAGTCGCCCCTCCCCCTCCGGGCCCCGCGGCGCAAAGGGCAGTGGCTTTTCTGGCCCGAGCAGGTGGCCCGGGCGTCGCGAAGGGTGGTCCCCCAGGCCTCAGCGGTGTGGGGGGAGGGCGCGGTCCCCCTCACTCCGGGCTCGTCCGGGCCTGGCCCGCCCCCCTCGCTCAGCGCCCCCTCCAGCCCCTGCGCTCCACTGGCGCGGGGAGCGCCGGGCCCCCGGCTGGGGCTTTGGCAGAGGGTCCCACCCTCTCCCCGCCTCCCCGCGAAGGCTCGGGCGGACCCAGATCTCGGGTCGCCGGACGCCCCAGGGACTCCGCCCGCACATCGCGAGCGCGCCCACCCGGTCACGAGCCCACGCCCGGGTCTCGGAGCCACCCTGCGGCAGTCCCGCCCTGCGTGCACGCGGGTCCCCCGGGGCGAGGCGCCCCCGCTCGACGTCCGGTCCCGAGCGCTCCCCGGCGCGGAGCCTCGCAGCCCAGCGCCCCACCAGCCCCGCCGGCGCCGCAGACCCCAGCCTCGGGCGGGTCCGACCCAGGCTTGCAATGCGCAGGGTGGGAGAAGGGAAAGCGGCGTCCGCAGCCGGCCCCTGCCCCAGGCGAGGCCAGACGAGGCCTCTGCTCAGACCCCGCCGCCCTAGAAAGCCCGCGGCCCGGGAGCCTACCCGAAATGGTGCTGGCCATGGTGCTGGTGGCGTTTGGGCCTGCAGAGGCTGGAGAGGCGCGAGTGGCGGCCGGAGCTGCAGACGGCTAGTGCTGCAGTGCCGGGGAGGGGAGGAGAGGGGAGGGGAGGGGAGGGAGCGAGGGCGGGCGGGAGGCGGGCGCGGCGGGAGAGAGAGAGGGAGAGGGAGCGGGAGGGGGGAAGAGAGAGAGAGTTGGTGGAAGGAGGGAGGGAGAAAGGGTTGAGGGAAGGAGAGAGAGAGACTGCGGGGGCGGGAGGAGGGAGGGAGGAAGAGAGAAAGGAGCAAGCACCTGGCTTCGGGAGGGGCCGCGGCCCTCAGAGGGAGAGGGCGGAGGGGGGTGCGAACTGCAACAAGACCCCCACCCTCCAACCGCTCATGGCGGGACAGCTGCTTCCCCAACTTGGCTTTGTGAGGCCTGAGGGTGGGGTGGGGGTGGAGATGAGCTCCCATTCCCCAGGGCAGGCGGGACAGGGGCAAGGCAGGAGGGGCAGTTCCCACCCATGGGGTGGGGCTGCAGAGCCCTTCGCGGAGGCTGCTGTAAGCTGGGCTGGTGCCAACAGGGTCCAGGTCTGTGCCTGCCATCAGAGAGGATGCCATGGCCACAGGGGTGGGCGCTGGCCTGGAGGCCTCCAAGGGGCATCTCCCGCGAGCCCAGGGGATGGGCAGGATCTGAGCAGAGAAGAGTGAAAGTGGAGGGGTGAGGCCAGAACAAAGGCTTTGCGGTGAAACAGAGGTGGGCTCCCGCCTCGGCTCTGACGTTCACTTGCTGTGTGGCCCAGGCCAAGGGCAAGCGTCTGACCTCACTGGATCTTTGTTTCTCAGGGTAAGATGAGACAATGAGGCCCCTAGATGATGGAGGAGGGGTGCCAGGGTTGTGTGCACTTAGTGAGTGGGGGGCAACCTATCCTGCCCCTGTCCTCGTAACTCCCAAACGGAAAGCCTGGCAGACAAATGGAGTGTCATTCCCATTGCAGGGATGGAGCCACCGAGGCAGGGAGAAGTGCTTTGCCCTACAAGCAACTAAGTCATAGGGCCAGGAGCAAAACCTTGAAAACCTCAGCAGACTCGCAGAGCCATGAGGCTGGCTCAGCAACACAAAAGCCGGGGGCAAGCCTCAGCTCTAGCAGTGCGCTGGGAGTACCCAAGGCCCGTCACATCCTAGGGTGGCCTGGAGAGTCCTGACCCCTGGTGTGCAAGCCAGCATCGTCCCCGGGACTGTGAGTCTGGTGGAGGTGATGCCCAGGAGGGTGACCCTGTGTGGCTCAGAGGTACCCTTAAGACAGGAGGATCATCAGGCAGGCCCTGACCTCATCACAGGAGCCCTTTAAAAGCAGTTTCCTTTGCCTGGTTGAAGAAATTGGGGGATCAAAGCAAAGAAGGTTCTCTGCTGTTGAGACGAGGGGACACGTGGCAAGGATCTGAGAACTGCTCCCGGCCAACAGCCAGCAAGACGACAAGACCTTAACCGCAAGGAAGTGAGTTCTGCCAACAAGAAGAGAATGGGCTTGGAGGCAGGTTTGACCCCAGGGCCTCCACACAAGAACTCAGCCCAGCTGCCCACTTGGTTTCAGCCTTGGGATACTAAGAATTAGGAGGTAATAAATGAGGGTTGTTTTAAGCTGTTGGGTTTGTGGTGATTTGCTATGAAGCCATATCGAACTAATATACACACAGAGGTGCTGGCCCCTGGGCTATTCCTAGGAACCCACCTAGGAAGGAGGAGGAAGGGCGGAGAGGCACACAGAGCTGCCCACCACAGCAGCCGCATCCTCCCTGTTGGCCACCACAGTGGCAGTTGGGGATGGTCAGCATCCTTCAGGCAGACTCCAGCCCTGGGTGCTGGAACTCAGGTGCTAAGGATCAAGAGTAGCCCTCTCTGGGACCTCCAGAGTCTTCTCATGTGGGTGGGGCAGGACCCACCCCGTCAGGCTCAGAGCACTGCAATGCCTCACACTCATTGTGACTCTGACCAGGCCCTCTCTGAGCCTCTGTGTCCTCATCTGGAGCACAGGGACCAGGTGTGTGGAAGCCCATGGCATAGCGCCAGGAACACAGTAGATGGGCACAGTGTGCACTAGCAGGCACACACAACAGGGGTACTGACGGTCAGCACCTTAGCAGGCACATGCAACAGAGGTACTGACTGTTAGCTGTACTGACTGTCAGCATGCTAGCAGGCATACACAGTGGCTGTACTGACAGCAGGCACACAATAGGTGTACTGTTAGTACATTAACAAACACACACAATAGCTGTACTGACTGTTTCCCCCAATATAGTGCCAGGTCTTGGAGCAGATTTTGAATTCTCACCAAGATCAAATGCAGAAAGTGCATGAGCATTTCAAAGATGTTTTTCACATGCACACCAGTGCTAATTAAAAAAAATGTTTTGGGCCAGGCGCGGTGGCTCACACCTATAATCCCCACTTTGAGGCCAAGATGGGGGAGATCACCGAGGTCGCGAGAGTCCGAGACATCCTGGATAACAGGTAAACCCCGTCTCTCAAGCTAAAAACTAGACAGAAAAATTAGGCCATCGTCGGGTGGCGGAGCACGCCCGTGTAGTCCCAGCACTGGGAGCGCTTAGCGCGGAAGAATGCCGCGGAACCTCGGGAGGCCGAGCTTGCATGCACCACTGCACTCCAGCCTGGGCGAGAGAGGAGAGACTTTCGTCTAAAAAAGAAAAAAAAACTGTTTGGCTGGGTGCCGTGCTCACACCGCCTGTGACTCTCCGCAACACCTTGGTTAGCCAGCCCACCACACTCCTTGGGTCAGGCGAAGTTCGAGACCAGCCTGGGCACCATGGTAAAACCCATCATATGTCCTAAAATAAACAAAAATTAGCAGGTTCGGGCAGATGCCTGCTAATCCTCAGCTACGTTGGGAGGTGGAAGCAGGAGAATCACTTGAACCCCGCGACGGGGAGGTTCCAGTGAGGCAAGATCATACCACGCACCACCAGCCTGGGCGACAACAGCAACACTCTGTCTCAAAGAATATGTATATTATCTTTTTTTCATAAAGTGTACTTTTATCAGACTCTGCGCTCTGAATTAACCCTGGCTTGGCCTGGGTGTGCTACGGCCTGGTCCAATCTAACACTTTGGGGAGGCTGAGGCAGGCGATCACAAAGTCAGGCAGTTCAGACCAGCCCGACCAACATGGTGATAACTTCATTCTCATACTAAAAATACAAAACTTAGCCGGCGTGTGGTGGCTTGGCGACCTGCAATCCCAGTTACTCAGGAGGCCGTGGGAAGCAAAACGCCGTTGAACCTGAGGGTGGAGGTTGCAGGGAGCACTCGAGAACTCACCACTGCAACTCCAGCCTGGGTGACAGCAGCAAACGACTCTGTCTCAAAAAAAAAAAAAAAGAAAAAAGAAAAGAAAAGAAAAAGAAATTAACCCTGGCTCCTAGGAGGAGCCCTATACCTCAACAGAACACTCAGTCATTCAACAGACATCTGTCAAGCACCCGCTGTATGCTGGAGCTGTGGCTACATCAGCAATTAGAGGAGGAGGGCAAGGGTACAGGAGTTCCTGGCTGCCCAAGGCCAGAACGCTCCTCTAGCAGCTGGCAAGGAGCAGATGACTCAGACTTCAGTTCAGTCCACAGGACAGCCTTTTCTAGTCACTGCTCTTAGGTGATGGAGTGTGTGGCAGCAAAAGGTAAAACTCCTGGCTCCTGGGCAGACTCTGGGCAATCTGCTCAACGCCCTGTGCCTCATTTTTTCACACAGAAAGTGTGGACAATGAGAGGACTTATCTGGCTCACACCTGTAATCCCAGCACTGTAGGAGGCTGAGGTGGGTGGATCACCCGAGGTCAGGAGCTCGAGACCAGCCTGGCCAACGTGGTGAAACCCTGTCTCTACTAAAAATACAAAAATTAGCCAGGCATGGTGGCAGGCGCCTGTAATCCCAGCTACTCGAGAGGCTGAGGCAGAATTGCTTGTACCCCGGAGGCAGAGGTTGTAGTGAGCCAAGATTGTGTCACTGCACTCCAGCCTGAGGGACAAGAGCAAAACTTAGTCTCAAAAAAAAAAAAAAAAAAAAAAGAAAAGAAAAAGAGAGGACTTATTCCAGAGGTCGTCCAGAGGAGAAGTGTGTCAATCATTTGTCGAATCTCACACTGCTATTAAGATACTACCTGAGGCTGGGTGTGGTGGCTCACACCTGTAATCCCAGCACTTTGGAGGCCAAGGCAGACGATCACCTGAGGTCAGGAGTTTGAGACCTCCCTGGCAAACACGGTCAGACTCCATCGCTACTAAAAATATAAAAAATTAGCCAGGCTTAGTGGCGCACACCTGCAATCCCAGCTACTCGGGAGGCTGAGGCAGGAGAATTGCTTGAACCCAGGAGGTGGAGGTTGCAGTGAGCCAAGATTGTGCCATTGCACTCCAGCCTGGGAAAAAAGAGCCAAAACTCTGTCTGAAAAAAAAAAAAAAAAAATCATGGCAGAAGGTGAAGTCTATGTTAGTCCCAGTTCCCAGGTCTTACATGGCAGCAGCAGAAAGCGAGAGAGAGAAGGGGAAACTGCCACTTTTAAACCATCCGGTCTCCTGAGCACTCACTATTATGAGAACAGCCTGGAGGAAACTGACCCCATGATCCAATCACCTCCCTCCAGGTCCCTCCCTCCCTCCACACGCGGGGATTACAATTCGAGGTGAGACTTGGGTGGGACACAGAGACGAGCCGTATCAGCACGTATGGGGGGCACTGAAACTTGTGGTGCCCATTCATTCCACAAGCCTGTGTGGCTGGTCTCCTCGTCTTCCACTCCCTGCCGGGTCTCAGACGGGCAACCCGCGGTTCCTTCACCCGAACAGGCACACGGGGCTGGGTGCCAGTGAGTGCTGGGGCTTCTCCGAGCACTAGCTCGCACCCACGAGCATGGGCACGCAGGGCATCGCCTGTGCCGTCCGTGGACATGAAACCCAACCGTGCGCGGTCACGCAGCGCCAGCTTCCTCCTGGGGCCTTCTGGGGCACGGGGGCTGGGGCCGCCTGAGACTAGCATCCCTCACGCTGGGCTGACCCCGCAGAACTGTGCGGGCCTCGCTCTTGGGGTCCGCCCTGCTGCCAGCCAGTGCCGGGTGCTGGGGACTCAGGGAGGCCGCCGGGGCCAGTGCAGGGACAGTGACCCGAGCAGAAGCTGGACAGAGCAGGAGAGGAAGGAGAGGAGGCGGTCAGGGCTCTCAGGAACCGGGTCCTGGGCAAGGGGCAGCCATTTTCAAATTTTCAGGAAAGCGGTCAGCTCACACCTGAGCAGTAAAAAGATGCCTCTGGGGACGAGGCCCGTGCAGCTCTCCGGGCAACGGTGGTGGCTCGGCCTAGAGAGGCGGTAGTGGAACGGAGACCCTGGTGGGGGGTGACATCAAGGGAGGAGACGGGCGGAACCCCAGATTTCTGCTGCCTGTGGGCGATGGGAGTGAGGTTCACTGGGCAGGGCAGCCGCACACAGAACGCGCGAACGGCCCCGTAGGCCTGGAGGAGCCGAAGAGCAGGCGGACCCCCTCCGCGGTGGAACAGTTTCCGCCGGGAGCACAAAGCAGCGGACCGGAAGTGGGGGCGGAAGTGCAGTGGGATCAGCGGCGATGCGCGCCTCTGCCCGCGAAGTCTGAACTGGCTGATAGCTGGGGACGCCGTGGCGGCGCTCGACTACAGTCGGTTGAGTTCCTGAGGGCCCCCAGTTCTGGAAGGTTCGCCCCAGAGACAAGTGAGCAGTGAGTCGCAGTGACTCTGTAAGTGGTTTACTCGAGCGGCTCGTGGGAGCCTTGCGGTTTTCGAAACTACAGCTCCCGGCAGGCCCCGTGCCGCCCTCGGGGCCGCGGGTCGGCGGATTGGCCGCGCTGCATTTTGGGACCTGTAGTTTCCTGCGCTCGTGGGCGCTGGCTGAGCCGATGGCCGGGGCTGGAGGGAAGGGCCGATATTCCGTGTGTCCGCGTCTGATCTGTTAGTCCCAGTTCCCAAGCGGGACTGAGGCTTAGAGAAGTTGAGTGACTTGCTGAGGGCTGCACGGATTGGCATCCCGGGATACTCTTTCGCTACTTTGGCTGCATCTGGTTGCCCACCCAGGCGGGATGGGGAATGGCCTCCAGCCAGCCAGGAGGGCAGAGGTCTGGAGAGGCAGGCCCGGAGGTTCAGACCCTTCGCTCTGACGTTGTGCCTGGTCAGGCCAGGAGGGGTGCCGCTTGCCTCTCCAGCCCTCACGCTCTTGTGGAAATCACGGAATTACTGCGGGCGGAACTTGCAGCGCTGTGGGCGTCTCTGCCAGGGAAGGACGGAGTTGTGGGGCGGGAGGATGAGGCAAGGCCCCGCCATTTCGCATCTTTGCCCCGCCAGCTCCTTGAGATGGCATATGCCCGGGTTGCCCTCCGACCCTCTCCACAGGAGGGACTTACAGAAATGCCTGGGAAAGTGGCCCGGTACCCACGAAGGCTGTCTACAGAGTCTTACTGTCTTTCCCAGGTCTGTGCCATAGGGATTCTCCAAAAGAACCGCGTTGTGTCCCAGTGCACCTGCTCGCATCACACCAGGAGTGCCTGAGATCCTAAGATGTTCGGAGTGGTTTTTTCGCACAGACCCGAATAGCCTGCCCCTCAGCCACCC